AGGGGAAAGGGAAGTAGGAAAGGGGAGTGTTAGAGGGAGGAAAGGAAAGTTGGAGGGGGAAGATGGGGTGTATGGAAGTGTCAGGTGGGATTTTGTCTTATGCTAAATGATGATGTGTTGTGTTTTCTTTTTTATTTTATTTTATTTCTTTTCTTATAGCAAATATCCAGTATACAAGTGACTGTAAAAAAATTGAATGTGAAAATGAATAAAAATTTAATTTGAAAAAAAAAAAACAATAAAGACCTATTGGTTTAATTTCAGAATGCCGGTCAATTCTCTATTATAACTATTGTAACTTCAGCATTAAGTGTACATCCCAATGTTTACTTTTATTAAAAATGAAGTATTAAACTGTCAGATTAAACACATAAATTAAACACACAAATTATAAATAAATGTAGTCTTTGCTTGCAAATTCTACTTTGGAAAGTTGTAGGGAACAGCTGCTCTATTGTGGAAAAAGTACACATAGTCCAAAATATTGTAGGCAGATGTTATATTTTGCCTCCCATGAACTCTGAAGCACTTTGGAGGCTGAAATCTGCACAATTTGGGAAGAAAGAAGCTAATCGATATCTGGGAGAAAGAGGAGAAGCTATTTATCTGTGACTATTCATCACAAATGTGTAACTTGTAATGGGATCTACTGTTTTTGATAATTACATACTTATCAAGTAGTGCAAGATCGGAAGACACAGAGAAACCTGGCCCATAGAATCATCAAAAGTCAGATACAATTGAACGGACAACATTATCATCATCACTTACTTATCAGTTGAGAATAAATGGCCTTAGAAACAAATTTCATAAAGAAAAATAATAAAGGACTGAATTGGTTGAGCAGTTCTTAGCATTCCTGCTGTTCAAGGACATCTGACTGACCACCAAGAGAAGGGAGTAGATTTGGTGCCAAGGTAGAAGACCATTTAATTTCCAGTTTAGTCACTTGTTTTGATTTCTCCTTCATGTTAAGAAACATGAGCATTCTGAGCTAACCTGCTTGTTTTTCACTCTTGCTTGCTGTGGGGGAAGGAGTCTTCACACAAAGCTTTTTTTTCTGTGAATGTCTCAAACTTTAGGTTTCCATCATGTTCTACTTGGTCAAAGTCCGGTGTTGCAGGCTTGTGACCATAGAAACAGGTCCATGAAATCATGGTGCCAGGTTTTAATAAAAACCCTAGTACTAACTAGCATTTATGCTGGGAGCTTCTGCAGAAAACCTAGCATTGGATTCTATGGAAACTGATCATCCTTGGAGTATCCCTGCTGTCATTATTAAGGAGCTTCTGACAGTTTGCAGGAGATTTGGGTATCATTTTGCATGGTGTGTCTGCTTTTTATATTATGCTTTAAAATTTGTTTTTTGAATTAATAATAAAGCTTAAAATCTATACCCACTAGTCTGCTCAGTGTCTCTGAATCCAAAGAACCAATTGTCTGGGCATCTGGATCACTGCCCTGACACTTGGCAAAACAGTAGATTGGATAGGCCTCTGGCCTAATTGAGCAAGATAACATAGAAAGTCAGATTCCCTGCATCTAAATAGCATATCTCATTCTCTTTCTTCCAAATTGTAATGCAGGGGTGTCAAACTCATGGCCCACAGCCCAGATGCACCACATGCTGGCCATGCTCACCCCATTTTAGTGAGTGGGGGTGGGGAATCATGATATGTCAAGTGCAGCGGTAGTTTCTGGCAGGCACTACTGCCGGTTTGCTTATGTGCGCACCATGCAGTGCAATAACAATTGTTCTGCACATGCGCAGAAGCAAAAAACAAGATGGCGCTGCCTATGGCGCTGCCCAGAGAACCAGTTCTGGGGCGTGGCAGGCCTGGGCCACTGCCAGTTCCAGTGACTCAGGCCATCAAACCACTACCTGTTCAGCCGAACCGATCTGAACTGGCAGGAACTGATCACTGGTGATGTGACGACAATGTGATGACGCGAGTTTGACACCCATGTTATAATGTATTGCGTTGCATTGTCATTGAGGCTAAGACCACACATAGTAGAAGTACATTTACATCTCTTTCCAAGAAATAGCATTTGATTTTTAAAACCCAGGAGCATGGATGAGTTAATCTCTCTCCTCTTTGCTTTTAAAATCAGCCTCACCTTCATTTCTCATCATTTGTATTTTGAACCTAAGATTGTTTATAACCTTCAAATTCTGAGAGAAAATGGCAGCAGATATCCCAGCTGGCAATGACTGCCCTCAGGATAAGCTTGTTATCTGCTTATTTTGGTTTCTTAAGGTAATACTAGGTCATTTGAACAATTCTTGCTTTTCTTTCATCTGTCAGTCTAATAAGCTTAAAACCACTAACTTTAAAGGCATCCTAACAAAAATGGAGAATACTGGCATAATGTTACCTTTCTTGGATATGTATTAAACAAAACAATTTAATTATTGTAAGATGTTTTATGTATTTCTTTCTCTGTTATACAGGTAGTCCTCAACTTACAAACATTTGTGTAGTCACCATTCAACATTACAACAGCACTGAAAAAAGTGTCTTATGGCCTTTTTAATGTTTAAAACCATTGCAGCATCCATCACATGATCAAAATTCAGACACTTGGCAAGTGACTCACATTTATGACGGCTGCAGTGTCCCGGAGTCATGTGGTCACTTTTTGCAACCTTCTGTCCAGCAAAGTCAATGGGAAATCCAGATTCACTTAACCGCCATCTTACTAACTTAACAACTGCAGTGATTTACTTAACAACTGTGGTAAGAAAAGTTATAAAATGGGGCAAAACTCACTTAACAACTGTCTCACTTAGCAACAGAAATTTTGGGTTCAATGGTGGTTGTAAGTTGAGGACTACTTGTATATACATCTTTCTGTTGCTATATGTTTTTGTTTTGTTTTTAATGAGGAGCTTAGGGAATCGTGCTGAAATATTAAAAGACTGTAAGAACTCCCTAAATAAATTAACTGTCCACATTAATAATGCCTAAAAATAGCTACTTCAGGTGAAAGCCATCAGTTAGATAGGACCCAAATCTATCATTTAAATTGTAAGAGAAAAAAAACCTTTAGATTAAATATTAGGAAGAACCTCTTGACTAGGTAAGCATTTTGACATGTTCCATATATAAGATTCAAATTGTTATTTCTGTCTGTTAAAAAATAAATTAGATATATTTGGATGCAATGGTCTCTCATAATGCAACCAAACACTTTCATATACATCATATTAATGGCTTTCTGAAACTTGCTTATTTTAAACTTTCAGAGTATTACAGTATAGCCATAATCTGTGGTAACTAAATTTTCTAATCTCACACAAATGAGTCATAAGCAAAGTTATAAATAAACATACGGCAGTTTCACTGAAATATACATACATGGTTCATCTTGATTATATTATTTAATTTTGGGGTAAGGAGTATTACAAAAAGAACTGAGAAGGAGAAGTACTAAGCCAAATCAAATTTAGTATCTGCTTAAGCCTTTAAATTTTTGCAAGCCATCCTTATTCTTACATACACTGCTTTATGTTTCCTTGTGTTTTTTTATTTCATTTTTTTTTTTGGGGGGGGGGGTTCTTATAAATTCCAAACAAAGATGTCAGAAAGGATCTTAGCGAGGAATTTCTAACAGCTGTCAGAAGAGACAAGAAGCAATATTACAACATCTATAAAGACATTAATGATGGGAACAAATACAGAAACACAAGGAAGTCTTCTAAAAGATCTTTCAACTCCAAAGAGGATTCCAACCTTGAAACTGATGTTTTAAAGAATACAAATGGGCAGATATTAATTGACTCTAAGAAAATCAAAAGATGGAAAAAGTATTTTGAAATGTGTACAGTAGAGATGTCTACTTCCAAAATTCAAGCCCACCCACTGCTGAAGTCATTTCTGGATCCCAACTTGCTGGTTTCTATCCCTCTAGGTAAATGCCTAAGCAACCTAGTTGAAAATGATATGAGGAAGAGAGNCAGTGCTGCATTTAACCACTGCGCCACCTCGGCTCATTAATGAATGATTAATGAATCTGAATAGAAGTTTAACTCACTAAATATGAAAGATGTATTTTAATTGTATTATAGAGATGCTGATCGAGGATTCAATTACAAAGATATTTGAAGAAAAAGCAAATGGAATGAGAGCAATGGGAAAAATAATAAAAGTCATGGTTGGGTTAATCCCAAAAGAGAGGACAGAAAATATATCAATATATTTAAAGGTCATTTAAATATTAAAAAAGCTGCACAGATACAGAAGAAGGGGATACACATTTAAGTGTCTCAGGTGGAAAATAGGCTCACCTATCCCTAATCACGTTAAGGCAGCCACATTTGGAAAATTCAAAGTTTGGGATAGGTTGGAATAAAATTTAACTGGAATAGAAAGTGGCAGCCCATAAAAAGAAGGGTTCTCACAGCATCAATGAGCTTTGTATGATGTCATAAAGGTTTGTTTTCCTGCATGTATCTGAGCTATACTGCATACATCTATGTGAATGCTAGGAGAGGAAAGGATGGTTTATATTAAACCATTAATAATAAAGAGTTTGGTTTATAAGGAGATTCAAATTTCTAACCAGCCTGATCAAACTGCAAGGAATATAAATTGACACACTATTTCCCCATAATTTCCCCATAATGTAATAAATAACCACAACTTCATGACAGAGATGAAAAGACATCTGTCATTACTGGCTGAATTCTCAGAAGCAGAACAGGTTTAACTGATTTGATTAAAGGGTATATCAAGGGTTACAGGACTGATCAACAAAACTAAAAGATGTGCCATTGAAATGACACACACCAATCAATCAGTGGTAAATTACATACTTCCATTGTTTCCTTCTCTTTTATTTGTTTTTCTGCATCTGCTTTAGCCTGTCCTTCTGGTTTCTCTTCTTTGCTAAGGTCTTGTTCAACAATCCTTTGCTTTTGCTTTGCTATGCTAATCCAAGCTGGCATTTCAGTTGGTCTTCCATAGTCTGCAGCAGTCACAGGAGAAGACAAACTTGTTTCTGTTGAGAGAAGATTTAGGGAGATTATTGTAAAGGGTTCTCCTCCCAGTAAAAAAGAGAGAAAACCTTTGACTTGTAAACCTTAGGAATGGCTAGCAGATATTTCTAAGAAGAAACATAAATTGCTCTATAAACTGAGATGCCAACCCTAAGAAATCCAGAGCTGATGTATATGTATCATTTCACATATCCCCACCCCCTGCCAAGATTAGAACACATGGACTCTGTTGGCCTTTCACATGTTCCTAAAGACATGGTTCTGTCACAATGTCTGGGGATCTGAATACATGACTGAACCCATGTTGTTGTAGTTGCGAAGTTGTATCCGACCTATCACGACCCCTGTGGACAATGTTCCTCCAGGCCTTCCTGACCTCTACCATCCTATAGGAGTCCATTTAAGGTCACTCCTATTGCATTGGTGACTCCATCCAACCACTTCATTCTCTATCATCCCTTTCTTCTTTTGCCCTCAATTCTTCCCAGCATTAGGCTCTTCTCCAGTGAGTCTGACTCCATATTTCCATCTATTCATATTGATTTGTTATGGGTGAATTTATTTACACTCTGGTTGCAAATTACACATTTGTTTTTATTTTTATATCACTTTAATTATTGTCAGTTGCCTGGAGTCATGAATTGAGATACGCAGCCATATACATTGAGATGGCGATGATGATGTTGATAATGTCACACCAAGTAGACACTGCAGATATAGTCAAAAAAATAATTGCTTTCTTCTACAGCTACAGTTATTCAAAGCCAGAAGAAGTAAAAGAAGCCAGAACATCTGAAGTTCATAGCACATAGCACTTTCCAGAAAATGTCATACTGTATAGTTGCACCTATGATCTGGACTTCCTTTCAGGTTAGTTATTGAGATTTTGATAAATTCTTAACACAGGCTATAGAAAAGGAGATAATTCCCACTGATAGTAGAAACTAGAGTTAAAGCAACTGAATCGGACTTGAGATAATTTCCATAAATATATAAGAGCTCAGGAAATCTTGATCCGTGATCTATGGAGTAAGGGCTGTTCTGTTATGCCATTATCCCAGAACCCTAAAATTACATATTCTGGGTACCTTGCAACATGCTGCATGTTTTTGAGTCAGTTACAGACTACATGGTTGAAGGAGGAGAACTAATATAACTGGTAGCTTATTGTCCAATTGAGAAGAAATTAATGAAGTACTTTTTTTTCCATTCTAATCTTGGAATGGAAACTTTGTATGGAAGGCAGTTGATCTTTTCCCTCAATTCCATCATCTGTAGATATAGTTGATTGATTTGTGGTTTTATGATAAGTCTGTATGACTTTCCCTAACAAGCACAAATTCCATAGTAGGCAAACACAGAGCTTTTATTCTACAGATATTTCAAAAACAAAGTTGCAGCTGTTGCTCAGTTTGCACAATGATAGTTATTTGTTTTAGAAAAAAATATTGGGTTTGTATTTATATAGGTTCTAAGGCCAAGAAAATAGTATTTTATTATATACCTCTCATTTCTACTTTAAAAGGCATTGTTTTCCTTGATACTTAAGAAGAACATTAGAGGGAGAATGGATTCTGAAATATTTTGACTCCTAACAAATGCAAGTTCTATAGTACAGTACGTATCCAGTTGATTCATTCACACACATGCAGCTACCCAGAAATGCTTTGGTCAGGCCATTCCTAAATCTAATAAATATATCAATAAAAACTTAATATGTTTTTATGTATTGAAAATCTCGGGCAAATATACTCTTTTTATTCTTATTTATTCTTATAGTAAATTGGTTGCATGGATAGTTAGTTGAAGACCAATCTAAAAGTTCATAAAATACAAATACTGTGTACAAAATTGCCAATCTATAACTTTCATTTAACCCCCCAGATATTCACTACTCACCAAAAGCAATTCTCATTCTTTTGATATGTTTACAATAAAGACCTATTGGACTTCCGGGGGCGGAGGCTGTCGCCGAAGGGGGCTCAACGGAGCTCCTCTCAGAGATCTGGTTTGTATATCTAAATAAGATCATAGATATCACCCCTTTTTGGCAAGAAAGGGGCAGGGAGAAGCTCAGTGGCTAGAGTCTATTCGTAGTTCACAGCCTTTTTCTTTTTTTTGGCTGTGGACGGAGATTAGATCCAGCGTTAGCTGAGCTCTTATCTCCAGCCAGTTTCTCTCAGCTGCCTTTTTTGCAGCTCCAGACAGGAGACTCCCCCCTCAGGACAAAGCAAAGTTGTTTGAAGTTATTTATGATCAATACGAGCGGGTCCCACCCCTGAGAGGTTTTACTTTTATTACTATCTTAAACACCAGCCTCGTTTGTCCTAGAGGCTTCTTTGTTCAAACGTGTTACAAAATGGCGATTTTTCTCCTTTGGTGACTGATAGGGGATGTACTTAGCCGGCTCTACCTTCCTGGAGACTATTCCTCATTAACTACCCAAAATCTATAAACAAATTTTTATTTTTATTTTTGGAAATTGAGGGGAGCGAGAACGCTGTTTATT